TGCTTAGTGAGTGAGTTGGTGGATTCGGTGCTGATGAATATCTTTGTATAGGAGCTGTGTTAGTGATCTGTCAAGGTCCACATCGTTGTCAATACGATTGTTTTAAGTGTGAGAAATATGACAGTCTGAAAGATTCGCCTTAATGGCAAACTGACTTTATAGTGACGTCTGGTCGCTCTTGAGCAAAATGTTCTTAGAGTCAGTTCTTGTTACAATGAGCCGTATGCCAGACACAACAGGTTAAGCCATTGCTCAATGGGAAATTTAAAGAGAATGGGACATGATCAAATTGTCGCCTTCTTCTGGAGCCTGAGACATAAACAGGTAGAGAATCAGCCACCGCCCTATATATATATATATATATATATATATATATATATATATATATATATATATATATATATATATATATATATATAAATTTGTGTATTTACCGACGGACGGTACACGGTCCCATAAGTGGGAGCGATCATTTGTATAGTGAACACGTTTCATAACATTAAATAAAAGTTTACTGATAGCATTTCGGATCATGATTACTTTTCCTTGAATCCTAGACCCGCGCAACTCATATGTAAAATTTACGGATGTTTGTATCCTCAGGAGTAGATAATAAACGAAGGGACTATTAAGCTGCAAAGACACAGGATTTGGTATGGTATGTAATGACATGTAGTGGGTAAGCTAGCTGTAAGCTATTATCAAATGTTTTTTATACCAACTTCTGTCAAAGTTTCTAGTGTTTGCTGTGAGTCAAATATTTTCAGAGCATTTGGTATAGTGAGGAAGGTCTGAGGGAGATTTCGAAAAGTGACATGGCTTGTACACATGCGTATCTGTAGTGGTAGTTTGTTCCACAAATAAGTGTATCTCACTAAGAAGAAATTCGACCGAATTCTATGACTTGAAAGGTTTGTACGTATCAAGTTGCCGCCATTACGTGTGAGGTAGACTGCAGTCTTCCGTAGTTCAAGTGCGGTGTTGTCTGCGTAAATTCGTTGGTTTATAATGTTGTAGAAGAGAAGGAGGTTGTTCTTTAATCGTCTCAGCCAAAGTGGATCCAGTTGGAGTTTTCGACAGAGATCCTAATAAGTCAGGTTTGAGCAGCCTCCCATGACCAGCTTGGTAAATGATTGTTGGGCATTTTCCAGACCCGTTCCGTCTTTCTTTCTCAATTGGCTGTGAACGATAGTACAATATTCCAGAGTCGGTCATACGATTGTCTTGAATGATTCAAGTCGTACTTCAGGTAGGGAGAAAGTTCTGGTGATATATCCGCATAGCTGCCTTGCTTTCGCAACCTGATAAAAAACATGTTCGGAGAAATTGAAAGAGTTGGAGTACCTAATTCCTAAGTCCCGAACTGAATCAGACGTTGGGATCACGTTTCCGGCAAGTATAATGGAGCCTTCTGGGATGCGGCATCTGTACCCAAGTACTTGGGATTTCACTGCGGAAAACTTCAGTAATAAGCGCTCACTACCTATATTTAGTGCGGATAGGTCTTCACAGATGTTACTCAAACACATATGTAGTTGGTCTGGATGAAATGAGTAGACCAGTTTGACATCATCTGCAAACAGAAATGGATGTCCATGTTTGATCGGGTCACATATATTGTTTACATAGATTAAGAAAAGTAGCGGTCCGAGTATACTTCCCTGGAAGACAACGCTGGTTATTGGCTTCGGTGTAGAATGTTGCTGACTGATTTTAACGACCTGAGTTCAACCGTTTAGGTATGAGTCGAACCAGTTAAGCAGCGGATTTCCAATTCCATATGACTCTAGAGCAGACAGCAGTGGCTGGTGTGGCACGCGGTCGAACGCCTTTTGCATGTCCAACAGAATTATAATAATTGCCATTCCTCTGTCAATCATAGTCGTGATGTGATCGAGAAATTGTAGCTGGCATGTAACGCAGGAGCGTTTTGAGAGAAAGCCGTGCTGTGAAGGGTTGATCAGATCCAGTCTTGTAAGATATTGGGCGATGTTCTTCTTGACTATTCGCTCTAGGGCTTTGGAAGCAGCAGAGGTGTGATTTATTGGGCGGTAGCTTGACATTTGCCGTAGTGCCGTTCCCCTGCACTAAATTAGCCGTACAAAAGCAGTATGAGTATCCCCGTCGAATTCATTCGGTATATATATATTCACAATCTGTGGTACAGATTTTGTGTCATCAGGATGATGGCAGAATAAGAAAACAGGGTAGGAATAGGAAGAAAAAAAGCAAGATTTTCACTAGTTTTTCACTCACAGTTTTTGAGTTTTTTAAATCGTATGTTTAATGGGGAAGGGAAGGAAAATTACCGCAACACGAAGATATACACGTCCGTCACTGATGTCGGTTCTGAGCCATGACTTTTAGGGTCTCAAACTAGCGACAATCTGTATCTCGGATATCTCAAACAGGGATTCAAGAACAACCTACCTACCTTTTTCATGTGGCTCCCCTAGCACTTGATTGTACTTCGCGCCAAAGAGCAGCAGTTCGGTTTTCAGCGATACAAATTCTTCAAGAGCACTGATGTGGTTTTGCATTTTAGGTAGTGAAATAACCTATACGGTAATCATGGAGAGGCTCAGCTGACATGGTAAATTAAGGCAGATGGACCAGTGAATCGTCACAGCGGTAAGAAGAGGATGGAAAAGAGATTCGCCGACAAGCACTTCAAAGTAAGATGAGGAAAGAATAGGGCCGATAAAATGAAGCAAAGATGACTACTAAGGAAGGCCATCTGTATGCACAACACTGCTCAATGTCCTGTATCGCGGCTCAAACAAGCTTCGTCAAACAAGTAGCAAAGAACGATTTCAAGCCAAAACATTTCAGAGAAAGTTTAGGCTAACTGTTTACGTCCGAAAAGACAGAACCATGTCTGTTGTATGACTCGCAACAGTACCAGCCAGGCTGAGGTCATCCCTTGAGGTAGGATAAGGACAACAGTGTGTTGGATCCGGCGCGTTAAAGTACATCAGACAGTGGTCGAGTGATCTGCACGCCTGGCTTGCAATCATAAGGTCACCGGTTCGAATCCGCGTAGGGGTGGGCGTCCTCGCGGTAAACGGCCCACGCGCCAGCGGTGGTTGTCGCATAGCAGCGAGGCGCGTAAGGCTGACACATTAATATTATTTGTTTGAATATGAATAACAAAAAGAACGGGAACTAGGAATAAAAACAGATGGGGGGAAATGATTTTCGTGAAGTAGTGAAAAGCGAAATTGGAATTTCGATGTAAATTCCTCACAGCCACTGCCGCACCTCTGGAAAACTGGTGGACCGTCGTTCATTCGGGAATCGTCGGCAATACGCATTCAATCTGCTCCTGTGTGGTAAAAACAAGCAACGCTGCACACACGCATCTGTGGCTAAAAGCCACCGTAAATAGGTTAAGAAGAACGACCTGAACCGAAGACAACAATTAGGATGCAAACCAGGTAAAAGCCCAAGGCAACCGAAATCAAAATCACGAAGTGGAAGAGGATTAGTGAGGATCGAATTTCTTAAACAGCATTCAGTAGATAAAATGGCCGTATGTGTGAGTATTTGGTACCCAACTCAAAGTGGATAGCTGTATTCCATAGCCAAAACAAAAGAATGCCTAGACAAGGCGTTACAACGCCTGACAGCGTGGACGCGGCTGACTGAATATGCGAGTAGCTGGCGGGAACAAGTTAACAATGGCGATGCGAACAGGTCCAAGATTCGCCGCGACCAGACGACTAATTCGTAAAGGAGGACGGAGATAGTCAGAGAGGAATAGTTGGCTTACAAACACAGCCAACATTCAAATCAGAAAACACGCAGTCAACTGAGTTTTAAATTTGATTCTCTCCCGACTGAATGAATGCGCTAGGCAAAGGGCACCGAGGGAAACGGTATAACAGGCTGTTGAAAATGTGTGGTAAAAGAGCTGTGGGTTACGTAAATATCAGGCTTACACCCAGAAGAATCAAATCACGGTATGTAGAAATATTAGCAAAAAGAGCACAGAAGGAGACAGCACGCATACCCCTTACTATACCTTTCACTCTATACTCCTAACTCTGCCGCTAAGCAACATCAATGTGTCTCGACCGTCGTTGGAAATTGATCATTAGCAATGTTGCACTGGCCGATCGGTTTCTTGCCTGCATAGACTCGTTACTAACGTTCACACTAACCGCGATGACGGAGATTCAGCTCGAATTGAACCGCGGTGGAGCTTAAGAGTGCACACTTATTATGACCATCAACAGCAATAGCAGCAGTACATCAATAATTTTATATGGCGCTTCCTTACCGTACAAGCAGATTGAGCTAAGGAATGAAGAATACTAAGAAAGCGACTTAGTACAAAGCTTTGTCTTAAGCAAGCACTCGGAGTCATACACCTGCGTCTTAGAAATAATACACGGATACAAATAGATGGCTATCGTGAGAAAATAAGTTGGCATCAGCGAAATGGTATCATTGAAGTCTGTACTGCTTCGCAATCCATTCGCATGAGCGATTCAAGGGACTCACAACTAATCATGAATGAAACTGAAAAAGGTTGCTTGCGAACCGGTAAATGCATCATCTGGGAGCCGCAACGTACTGGCTAGGAGTTGCGTCCCAGTTAGCTCTAGCTGACAAGTGTAAACAATTACGAAACCGGTCATGGGGCGTAGTGTTGAGGTCCCAGTGACCGAATTAGTCGAAGTCCAGGTACAGATTGAGACAACGCGTCGAACAACGGGAGTCTCAAAATGACTCTCCAAGCAGTTTTGACCATCTTTCAGTCCGTAGGTGTGTGCACTTGCTCTCTCCTATCACCATTGTAAACTTTAATAGTAAGATAAGGTTAGACAGGATGATTCTGTTTTATGCATTGAAGACACGTGTCAAGGACTGAACGGCGCAAGTATCAAACCAGCGAGGTGATCATGAAGTGCATGAAGCGTTATCCTGCATGGGAGAAGCGAAACATCAAAGTAAACACAGATTACGGTATGGTGGTTGACTAAAAGTGAACTCACTATGGTGTGCGAGTAGCTAGAGGTGGTGGAAGATGATCGCTCCAAAGAACCCGTCACTCGCCGTGAGTTCCGCTGCTTGGTAACATTCGGAATGAAGCGACGTCGTGTCGGCTCACTCTGAACGCCACTGGGTTCCGCCGAGGTCCAGGCCTCATACGATCTGTCCACCTTTTCGCTGGAAATAGGGGAAAAGTGTGTGGTACACTGTACATGTGTACGCTGAGCATGAGGATTGGTGCCACGATTTGTTTTCGAGGGGCCGGCGTCAGTCTGAATGCCACAACAAGTGATATCGGGCGCCTCAGGTGTAACTTGCGAACCTTGGCTACGTAAAAGGCAAACATCAGTTTCTACGGCAACGCTGGTACCAGGTAAAGGGGTTGTCAAGGTGTATTTGTCCTCAGAAATAGGGCGAGCTTCAATGAGCTGGGATTCCGTTGGTTTAGAGGAAGCAACTTTCGTGGATGGAATCAATTCTGGCTCGACTGAATGCCCTGTAGTTGTCGACTGTGATTGCTGCTGAGGTTTCACTTCACTAGCGATAGTCTTGGTGTCTTTCTTGATAATAGTCAAAATAGTTTTAACAAACTCCTCGCGTGATTCACGTGAACTTCGAAGTAACCGAGTAATTGTACAGCGAGTGGGATCCGAGAGCTGCGGAAATTGTCGGTTCAGCCAGATTCTCACAGCCGTATCCTGCTCAGAAGTGGGGATTCCGCTGTGCCAAAGCACTCCAACATCTCTCGTCATGGGACGAACGGAGACACCAAAACATCGCTGTTCCTTGTCAGTAGATGGAGTGGCCATGGTTGCAGCTGAACGATGAGCAACTAATGAAGATTGGAAGGCTGTGTTCCGCGTAGAAGGGCGCGCAGAGTTAAAACGTTTTTTGAACAACTGCTCCAATCTGGACCAGTAGTCGCTTGGAAAATGAGATTCCTCTATAGTCTTGGAATGCAGATCAATCATGTGGTAGCGACTAGTGTCAAGCATGTCAACACCACCGTTTATAACACCGGTTCGATCGAGCTGCACAGATTTGTCAAGTTTTTTAACTGTGGGACGACTGTGCTGAATAGTGGGGATTTCTTCAATTATTTCCTCGCCAGATGAATCAACCCCTCCATTGAAAGCCCGCTGTGATTGTGAGGCCTTGTAGCTCTCCAGCATCATCCGTAAATCATGATTTTCGCACCGCATAGTCTCCAGTTCGGTTTCCAATTGTTGCAATCGATAAGCGGACTCATGCGCATCGATAAAGTCAAGATTCGGATTCATGACTTCCTCATCCTCAAGAGCATCGTCAATATGCAGCGTAGCATCATCAATTTCTGAGGCGCCGATATTCCCTGAATGGTAACTGGAGTCGTTAGCTGATTGTTCAACGCGAACAGAGTAGAAAGTGCTGCCTGTGAAGAACACATCTTTATCTTGGCTTAACGATGATGGAGAATAGTAGGGGTCGATTTGGTCCTGATGGATGAAGAAACGCTCAGCCTCTGAGCTGTGTTGTGACATACGGTGATCTCGGATATACCGTGTTTTTGACATAAGTGCGTCCGCGAGTAAAAACTGCTAACAAAATTATCCCGCCATAAATATTGTTCACCAATAAAAAGGGCAGTTCCTACAAAAGAGGAAAAAGAAACATAAAAAGTGAGGTGATAAGAAAAGTTTGGAGGCAAACTGCCACTAAGTGTGGGATTTGACGAAAGAGTAACAGTGGATGAGATCGAGTATCAACAAGCCTCGGGATGGATAGTCCGGTACACCAACCTACGGCTAATCATGAGTCTCCTAGTGTTGGGGCCAACTCGTCATGTCGGCGGACAAACATATGAGCAGAGAACCTGAAGGTTATAATGGCAAAAACAACCGGACACATTAGGCGACACCTAGAAAGTGAGAAAGACCGAGTCTGTCCGTACGAGGAATGGTAGGTTGGCTTAAGTTGAGTAGTGTAGTAAACAAGACTGGCCACCTTCAGGGTTAACGCAAATTTATGAGCTGAGGAGAGCTGGAGAATAAATTCAATAAACGGATGAGTAAAATCGTGAGCTGAAGAGACACACATAGTGCTTGTCTGGGTACGACATATGACAGTAAACATAACATAAAGCAAAACAATCGTTATTGGCAATGATACAACAAAATTTGCGATCGGATTTCGCAAAGGTTCAATGGTCAAAGTACATCAACCAAAGACTCAGCAGCAACGCTCGCAATTTGTCAGAACTGCATTGTCATCAATAAATGAAATTGGTAGGATGATGAGGCGGCATTGAGGAAGGAATTTCGATACTGCATTCACTGACCCGTGTCGTAAGCAACAGTACTGTACGTATGACTTTGCATCATGCAATCCTAATCCATCAACAGAATCAAATGCACCCAGAAGATCGAGAAAGACAGTCATGTGCTCAAAGAAAGCGTGACAAATGACCGTCTTGGATACCATCATTGTGAATGACTCAGCCTAGGTGGTTGTGTTGGTATGGCGCTTTCATAATTGTCTGAACGAATAGGTTTATTCCTCAGAATGAGGCTACCATCTATCGACGGCGAGGGTACGAGTGAATCCGGGACAGGGCACTGGAAAAACAGAGGAATGCGACTGTGCTTCGAATCTCAGATTCAGACTATACTTTAAAGTTAACCGGCCATGGTTAAACCTATGGGAGTTGTGTAAAAAGCGCAAAAAGTTAAGTATCATGTTTTCGAATGCGACAGGCAAAGCGAAATAGGTAGTGCGCCGTAACGTGAAGATTGTATACAACCCTTAGTTACTTCGATGACCAATGAATACATCCCAGGTACTTAAGCGTTATCCAAGCAGAGTACGATATAACGGTTATCATGATAGACGCTATAATGATAGCACATTGGAAAACAGGAGCAGCGAAAGCAAGATCAAGCAAAAATTGAACAGAAAATAGGTTAAAATAAGAATAAAAGTTATTAATTGAGAAAGTTAATAGCAAGGAGCAGGAGATCGCTTACGAGAGAGCGAATGAGTTTGAAGATCCTAAGCCAGCATCGTAGCTACAATAAGGCTAAGTGAAACCAGAGGGTGCCCAGCCGGTGGTGCGGCAAAAATGTAGGGACAAATTGACCTGAAAGTTTAGTCAGGCTCGTGCAGGAAGGATTCCAGAATCAGCTGCGTTCTCAGTGCAGAATCGTATCCGACCCGATTCACCCGCGAAATTGATGCTGCCTCCCTACTGAATAACAGTTTCTTGCTATTGGCTACTTTCCTAGACAGTGATAGTTTTAGTCTGGCAGTTATCGCATTTGCTTTCCATGCCTATTAATTTAAACTTTATTATCAGTGTGAGGCACGATTTACGTTCGGGTCACAGTAAACATGACATAAAAAGTGCCGCCTAAGGAATGATAAATTTGAGGGGAAACAAAAGGGAGAATGGTATCAGCAGTACGTCGGTACAATGTGTTGAAACTACGTTGCCATCCGGCCATTAAGTTGCGCGAGGGTTGAGTAGACGGCAAGGTCACCCACACTTACGTGGATTCGAACCGGTGACCTTCAGATTGCTTCAAAAAGAGATGAGAAATGTTTCTGCATTTCCTATTTATTTTAAAATAACTGAAAGGGGTTGTAACTTGCAAAACATTTTATGGATCGAACACAAGACAACCGGAAACCATGCTAAACTCTTAACAATTTTGCATAGGGGATGCTGGGTACAGCATGCAACATAGACCAGACAAGTTAAGAATACCCTATACATCATATTCATTACTGGTCCAATAAACCTTGTTATCGATTACTAGGCTGTATTAACGGTAGTGACCACAATGTTGCAAAATCAACATTGCATATACCACAGAGCACCGTTGAAGCACGTGCGTAATGTTGGTAGTATAAACCATATAAACTTTGCTGCCTTGATGCGCAATTCTGACTGGAGCGGTTTCTCCCTGGCTTATAACCCAAGTGTCTTTCGAAACATTTTACGAGAAGATAAATCGACGCATAGAAACACTGTCGCCTGTTCTAACTTGCATTCGAAATAAGTCCCATGTCTAAAAAATAGCACGAGCAAAAGCTAAGGATTTGTTCTAACCGTTTTAAACAGACTAAAGATTTTGCACTACAATTTAGGCTCCATAGAGAGTCAACAAAAAATAACCAAAAAATCTTTCATTTTTAAAAAAGAAACTGGTATTCAAAATAGTGCCAAACAACTGTTTGAGATAACACGATTGCTAAAAGACGGAGCCTCACACAGCAAAGCACAAAAACAACCACAACAGCCACAGTACATCAGCCATTTAAACTAACGCTTGGCTGCTGTCATCATCATCATCATACACGTTAGCTAGAGGTGGGGAACACCTCAGCTACTGTGCCGCAATACATAGAGAAAAAGGAAAAAAATGCAACTGGTGCAAGCTGGCTGAGCTACCGGTAACGGATGGGCATCGTTCCGGTAAGCTACCAGCCGGCTACTGTGCATCAAAAAAAATTACTATGCAAAATTATATAAGGTTAAATAATGAGGTCGTGGTTGGAGGGGGAGGCTAAGAGGGATGGGGTGGGACAAAGAAATTCACAGCACGAACGCCACTGAGGCCGGCTCCTAGCCATATCAGCAAGTGTGTCCAACCAAACGTGTTCATCGTCTTTCGGACCCCAACCAGGGAGCCGTGACGCTCCAACCGACGCCAGCTCCGAAGTGAGGGCCTTCATTCCCCTGGACCAAGTCATCGCTTGGCCACCTCTCCTCTTCTTCCACCCACATCCCCGGTGAGCAAACAACGCACGTCGAGGGAGTCGGTGGGCTGGCATGCGTAACACGTGGCTGAGCCATCGGAGCCTGATGCGTGAAATAACAGTGCTGAGCGGTCCATTTCCTTTTCCTGTGCCATAAACAAGGCGTCGAACACGCTCGTTGGTCACGCGGTGTTCCCACCAAATGTGAGCTAAATTACGAAGGCACCGGTGGTCGAACGTAACTAGCCTCTTGAGGTCCGCTGCTTTAAGCGGCCAGGTTTCACAACCGTCACCGTGCTGTACAAGTATGGTGACCTACTGAACGAAGAATAATAACAGAGAGAGAAGGGAGACCTAGCGTAAACCCTTAATGCACTAAACAAACATTCAGGGTCAAGGCGCCTACCCCCTGTGACAAAAATATACTGGGTGGCTGGACGAACAACCTTCTCGTGGCATCAGCTGGATGGTTCAGGATTAGCCTGCTCCAGCGAATATATGTATGTAATTTCAGCAGTCTAACAACTAGACACAAAGCCAACAAAAACCATGGAGATTAGCGGATAAGGGGAAGCCATCGCGTCATAATCATCGTGGCATAGTAGCTGAAGGTGAGCAACACACTTCAGCTAATATGCCGCAGGAAGAAATGGACATTTTGACAAAAATGTAGAACAAAACATTTTAATCAATTGTTCACACACCGATTTTCCTTTTTTTGTCATTTGTGAGCCTTCTCATCTTTGGGTCCCCATCCTGGAAGACGTACGGATCTAATAGCAGCTAGACACGACGTCAGCGATTTCATGTGCTGCCACCAAGGCCAAGTGGAAGGCTAACCACCACGCGGTCGCCTCCAGTCAGGTCCTTGACGAGTGAATAGAGCGCTACGCGGTAGACGTTCAGGTGCCATGCGTAGGACGTGACCGAACCACCTTAACTGGCGCAACAAAATCAGTTTGTTGAAAATACTCGCATCCCCCAAGATGCGACGTCGAACGCCATTACTATTAACTCGATGTTGCCACCAAACAAGAGCAAATCTCTTTAAGCGACCGTTATCGAAGGCATAAAGACGACGCATGTGTTCCATGCGAATCGACCAGGACTCACTTCCATACAACAACACTGAGCAAACAGATGCGTTCTAAACGCGGCCCTTTAGCGAGAATGAGACGTCGCGACGACGCCACAAGTGCCTCGGATTGGCAAATGCTGATCGAGCTTTAGCGATGCGAAGAGAAATTTCTTTGCTGATAGTACCGTCAGCAGAAACACAGAGAATGGTTCGGCGGCAGTGTTCCAGGACGTGGTGGGTTTTCGCCTTGGCAAGCATTCTCCCTATAAAAAGCCACATATGTCCACTTAACAACACTGCGGCGTGGCGGATGTGACTCGCTATTAAATAAAGTCATTACCCATTGCCTCTCACTGAGTAGCATTGTAACTTCAGGGTGTGTTGGGCCCCTAGTCCTTTGCAGGACCTAAAGGCGTATGAAGCAATTGTTTGGTCACCAGTTCCCAATGGGTTGAAACGCCTTCATATTGCCCTGTCACCTTGCAGGTTAGGTCATTGATCAAAGGCTCGGGATAGGGCCCCTTAAGACAACCCTCTATTTCGGTCTGGGCAACCGAGTAGTATCGCGCCCACTCATGAATCATGAACGGATAATACTACTGCTTTCTCCCGCCATGTTTACCAACTCTACTGTTCGTACTGCTGAATCTCCACTCACAAATCGTCCTACGTCCCATTATTCAATTAGACCTATGTTCTCTACGATCACCGCCAGCAGCATCTCACTGGTCGCACCTGACGGAAGTCAGAGTCAAACTCTTGGTGTTCGATGCCCGGTGACCACAGCCTTCTTACACTTCACCGAAGCCCTGCT